AGAAGTAACAAAAATACACACTCAGGCACTCACAAACGCCTTTATAATATTAGTTTGATAAATAAAAATGTTTGGTATTTTGTAAAAGGCTGAAGGACTACTGTTTTTAATAAGCAAAAGAAAGGAGTGCAGAAGGATATCGGGTATGGAACAGGAAGCAGTAGAGCAGTCACTCAGATACATTTTAGAGAAACAACGTATTTTGTGAGTCTTGAGCGGTAAAATGCCTTCCAAATTGAGTAAAAACTACGTGGACTCTGTATGCTTCATTGCGGAGATTTTTCTAAATTCATCTTTCACTACTAATTTAAATAACTTATTTTATTCAGTAGTAAAAGGCTGAATTAAGCATATAAGGCTGTTACTTACAAGCACTTGTGAAGGTCAAGCAGCTACGCCATCGGTTCGCAAAACTACGGCGGGAGACCTTGTACTGAGAAGAACCGGCAAGAAAATCAGCAAGGGCTGTTTTTTTTCTCTGTATTGTTAATATACAGAGTCGTCAAGTTGAAAAATGACTTTAGAGATACTTCTAAAGAAATAATTTTTCTTTGGAGGTACGGAACCCTAAAGAGGATCAGATTTATGGGTTACAAAATGTATAAAACTGACAGCTTACATTGGGACCTGCAACGATGCACCACCTGAAGTTATAAAATGGCCGTTATTAACCCCATTGATAGTTCTTGCATCATGTTCGTGAAAGGGTACTGACTGTCTATGGAATGAGTCTGCTCTGTACTAAATAGCATTTACTTATTTGCATGTTACTGCTTAATCGATATTTACATGAAATGGTTATTCATAAGATTGTATTAATATCTTTCAGATTGTGTTAACTTATTTCAATTAAGCAGACTTTTTTTAACAAAAAAAATACGAATATGACGACGCATTACTGCAAAAGATGCGAAACCTCAATAAATAAATAAAATCGGTGCATCTAACCCGTTGAAACTTGTTTTATTTAATGAGTGATGTGCGTGAAAACCTAAGAATTAAAATAATGGAATGAATAAATAAAGCAATAGAAAAATATTTTCAGCTCGACTAAATTAGAGTTAGTATTATAGTAGTTGTTGTATTAGCTTTACTCTCCATTCTGGACTATGCTGATGTATGTTACACTGATCATGACGAGGAACTGCTAAGCAAGTTGGAACGTTTGCAGAATATGGTTATGGTTATCAGATTTATAAATAATCTCCGTAAATTTGACCTATATATTATCTTATTATATTCTATTCGCCGGCGCAGGGACTGACATACTCTTATGCTGCTTTATTCTGTACTTTTCCTACCTACTTCTCCATCTTATCTAAACAATGCTTCTCTTTTCGTTCATCCTCTTCACAGTGCATTCTACGCTCCTCTTCTAATCTCACTGTCGAAATACCTTACCATTCGACTGATTTCCTTTCTTACTCCTACTCTGTGTATTCTGTTCGCTTGTGGAATTCATTACCGGAATCCATTCGAAAGGCTCGCACTCTGGACTCGTTCAATGATCAAGTTAAGCGTCATTTCCTATCCTTACTTTGAAAATACCTCTTTCCTTTATTTATTTATTTGTTTCTTTTTTTTATTGTTAATATAAATATGGTCCTTAGTATTATTACCTTTTTTATTTTATTTTATAATATTGCTTTTACACCCTTCCCCTTTTTTGTTCTTATAAAATTATTTAATTTTCCGTCATGGGTCGCCTGGAAGAGATTGCTAATAAGCAATAAGGCCGCTCATTGTGTAATGTCTCTCTGTCAGTGTAATCTTACTATGTTCTTTGTGGTGTTATACAATAAAGAATATTATTATTATTAGCTTACTAGCAAAATTATAGGTATTAACGGTATGTAAATAATTAAAAACTTAAACGTAACGAAAGCATTTTAAAAGAACTAGAATAATTTGATCAAAAAATGCTATTTAGATATAAAAAATACATTATTGTTTATTCACTTGAATCGATAGGTGAACATGTACCTATAGAAGATAGTACGAGTTGAAGCAAATGAAAAATCCACCAATCCAAGGCCGAACGCGACTTCGCACGCGTGGAGTTAGTTAGAAAAAAAGGTTCACTGCTCGGTCCCCGTAGGTGATAGCGTGATAATATGTAGCCTATACGTTGACCCGACTTCTTAATAATATTCGTGCCAAATTTGAAGTAAACCCATGCAGTACTTTTTGAGTTTATCCCGGACATATATACAGACAAACAGACAAAAATTCTAAAAACTATATTTTTGGCCTCGGTATCGATTGTAGATCACACCCTAAGTATTCTTTTAAAAAAATATTTAATGTACAGTTTTAACTTTCCTACCATTTTATTATATGTATAGATACTTACATTATTTATACCAAAATCTCACTGCCCTCCTTTTGCATACGAGTCTTTCTGCTTGCTCGGTAGTTTTATTTTGCTAGACAATATTTTACAGAAATATTTCTGCAGCTCATTGTATTGTATAATTAGGTAAGTAACACAATGGCGGCGGCGGCTTTTATAGGTATAGATAAGTATAAAATATTGTCTAGCAAATATACTGGACTAAGGATGCTGTACAGTTTCCCCAATCTCTTATCTAATAGACAAGTCCGTCCGTCCGTCCGTGGTGCTGTTTCAGCGGCCAAACCGTAAGAGATAGATATAGAGAATGTTTAAGTTATAAGTTAAGTCTCTGGGTCTGATAAGACTACAAACCGGATGTGAGTAACGTAGCACTTCCGGTTTTCGAGAAATCACGTGATTTCTATTTCAAACGAAACCACACAAAATCTCCGAAGTTCTCAATTAATTAAATACATTTTTTTTTTTTTTGGTGAACATTTATTCACTGGTTTGCTAGTTACCTTCTAATTATCTAAACAGATATACTTTATTTACCATATACAACAATCTGTACAGGACAGGATAAGTCTAAATAACTTCAGAAAGTATTACAGAATATGTAAGTACGTAAATAAATGAACAATTTCATTGAAAACTAAAATCCCACTAGTTAAATACTTAGGTAGACCTAATTCATTTACGTATAAAAACAAGTCCTTTGTATACGTCTTGTTTTATACGTCAGTGATCTAAATGTAAAAAAATGCGAATCGCTGATACCCAGATAAACCCTACGACAATCCCTACGAGGTTTTCGTGGTACAACATATTATGTAATCTAATATATAAAATTCTAGTGTCACGGTGTGCGTAATTGAACTACTCCGAAACGGCTCGACCGATTTTCGTGAAATTTGATATGCATATTCAGTAGGTCTAAGAATCGGACATCTATTTTTGAACTCCCTAAATGTTAAGGGTGTTACCCATAATTTTTCATTTTTGGAAAAATATTTTGGTTTTATTTTTTATGATACATCATACAAAAATACATACAACCCTGAATTTTCACCCTTCTATCACCAACCCCTATTTTTTTATGGCGGTACGACGTTCGCTGGGACAGCTAGTAATATATATTATAAGTATTTTGAATAAATTTCTTTTTTTATGTAAAAGGGTGGCCACCACAGCCTATCGACACTTACGATACCAAAATAATCCTACCCTAACCCAATCCCCTACCCCGTGGAGCCCTAGAACTTGCTCCTCGACAGTAACACAACCACCAAAAGGTAGTATTATGTCACTGTGATTTTCTGTAAGGTTGTGTTTACTTCCCCAGACCTAATTCAAGCGGGAAATCCGCTATACCCTACGTACGTATCTTAAATATATCTTATACTAGCTGTGCCCCGCAGTGTTACCCGCGGTTTATTAGAGATATTTTCCCGCAGTAAAACGTAGCCTATGTGTTAATCCAGGGTGTCAGCTAATTCCATACCAAATTTTATTAAAATCGTTCCAGCAGTTTAGACATGAAGAAGTAACAAACATACACACTCACAAACTTTCGCCTTTATAATATTAGTGTGATATAAAATTCTCGTGTCACAATGTTAGTTACCATACTCTTCCGAAACGGCCGGACCGATGTTTATGAAATTTTATATGCATATTCCGTGGGTCTGAGAATCGGCTATTATCTATTTTTCATATCCTTAAGTGATAATGGTTGTCCACCTAGTGTTCTGAAACCTACAATGCGCCTTCGCGCCAAATATCAAAATATTGGGTATTGTAACGTAGTGTTCTCTGGTTAGGAGAAATGTTATCCCAGGAAGTTGATAGATCACTACGTTACACACTCCTAACTTTTTTTTTGGACAATATTTATGTTTTTATAATGTGGTATTAAAAATACATACAGCCCTAAATTTTCTCTTCTACCACCTGCCCCTATTTTAATGGCGGTGCGAAGTTCGCTGGGTCAACTAGTAATAAATAAAATAATTAAATTAAACATATTTATTCAATTGTCGCCCGATTTCGTCTGCGTGGTTTAAATTGGTTTCCGATACAAACCTCCAGCCTTCTTTTCACCCTCTTAAAAAATAGCGTGTATATTGACTCAATTATATCTATACCAAAATTATCTAAATCGGTACAATAGTTTAAGCTTGAAGGAAGAGCTCAGAGACAACCACACTATTGCATTTACATAAATATTAGTCTTTACATAATTTTATTATACGGAGCAGTTGCAGCAGAAAAAATTGAAAAGGAACAAGTGTCACAAATATAGTATTGTCATCGTACACCGACGACCAAAGCTTCAGTAAATTTTTGCTGCCTAGCACAGTTGCTAAGTTTATTTGGCTGTTTCCTTTATCTTTTGTATAATTTTATAAAAGTATTAGACTAAGTTAATATGACTTGTTAGGTAGGACTAGTTAGGTAGTATAAATTTAATTTGAAATGAATGTGTAAAAAGTAAAAATTTGGCATCATTTTTGAAAAATTCGCGTCGCGTAAAAATAACTATGAAAGTAAAAAAAGATATATCAATATTTTTTCTTTATTAAATACCCGTGAAAACAATCATAATAAAAATCAATATAACTAAAAAATAAATAAGGTCATGTGATGATTTCCAAATTTTGTCCCATTATCGGCCTAATCATGTTCAGCGTGGGCAACTTGTTCGTTTTCAGGCTTCGGAACGGTTCGCGTTAGATTCGGTTCGGATAAATCTTTGAGGTCGGTGTGGTGCTTGCCAGTTTGTGATTCTGGGATGTCTTCCGACAGCTTGTGATGGTTGGCCGCCCGGGATGCTTTCACCCAATCAGCCTCCCGCATCATATCTTCGTCGGCGTTCCTATAGGCTGGAGCGGCGTATCCGTGATGTTCACTCAAAACGCCAGTGACGACGTTCGGGGCGCAGCTCAACATTAGCGGAACATTACAGCCACTCACTCTAGCGTGCGGGAATACTCCGATGGCTGGTCCCGTAGCAATGGGAGCAGCAATAGCGGGTAAAGACAGGGGTTGTCCTGCTCCAGCTGAGATGGCTATGCCGGCATGACTTCCATAACTTGCGACTGAATGTGGAGCCGGGATGACTGCACCAGCGGCTGGCTCGTAGTATGATCGTTGGTGTTCTTCGTTCTCGTGGTCAAGTTCACGATACTGTGGCAGAACGTGGAGAGGGGCTGGGGCTAAGTACCCACCCCCAGAGCGAGGAGCACCCAACGATAGCGAACTCTTATCTCTTTTCAAGTCTTTTGAATCTTCTAGTGGTAACGCCAAACTGGACGCTATTATCGCAAAGAGAACTGATGCAGTCTTCATTGTGATGTGATGTTATGAAGATCGAAGGTGATGTGTGATCGCTTTTGAAAATTTCGATCTATTTATATTGAAATCGGAAGTTAAATCAGTACCTATTACTTAAGTGCACGTTTGTTATCTTTCACATAATGTGATTTAAATATAATCGTCATTTCATCACGTTTCATCTCGATCAGCACTTTACTCAATTATTCGGAAATAATTGCACGATTTCTCATGAATCACTTAGATAGCGTCAGGGGAGATTATGATTTCTTTATTCCAAGAATATTTATGTTACATATGGATTTTATAGGACACTAGTGGCCCGCCCTCGCTTTGCTTCGGTGTAGAGCTAAAGTGTAGGCTACAGTTTTTGTTCAAAGGCTTGTTTTGTACACAATGACCTTCTTCATAATAAATATAAACCTTCCATTCCAAGTAAAAAATTCGTTGCGTAGTTTAGGAACCGTTGTACCGAATGCAACATTGCGTTGTTCCAATTTGAAAAATTCTTTTTCTATTGGACAGTGCATTTATCGAGGAAGGCTATAGGCTATATATTACTAAGCAAGTCAGTAGCAGCAAAAATGTTGTAAAAACGGGTTAAAATATTCCATTTGTGAGATGCCGTTGCGTGCGCTGGGTAAACGGTTACACAAAAATCATGTATGACGGAATTCTTTCCCTTTAAAAGTTCTGTAAAAAAGCCCAGGACAGTCTGTCTATATTTTAATTTTGACTCACTAAAAACCTTTTTCTTCCAATTAACGCGGGTGAAACCGCAGGGGACCTCTAGTTGTGACATTACTGTAGTTAGACATATGGTATCGCGGACTTTTTATAGATATTGGTATCCTCTATAAAACTTTTGTATATCATTTTGCACTATTTGCTTTGTCAATGACTTCCGCAGCGTACGCGATATAAAGCTATTTTTTGGTATTTTTTACACACGTTAGGTTACATTATCGAAGTTTTCATACGGAACCCTAACTTTTTTGAAAATAAACTATAGCCTATATTAATCAGTGATAATGTAGCATTCAAATGGTAAAAGAATTTTTAAAATCTGTCCATTACTTTTTGAACCAATTCGTTACAAACATTCTTACATACAAATCTTTCCTCTTTATAATATTAGTACAGAAGTATAGATAATACAGCTGGTGCACTCATCATTGGTGTTCTGTGCAAACCTAAAGACAGTTGAGGGTAGTTAACAAAAAAAAAGCAAGCAACACCACGGGCGAGCACTAGTATTATCGAATGTCAACGTCGCTGACCACAATATATTTTGCGTGCATAATACGACGTTTGTTGAAAACTAAACCTTATTGCGTTTATTGAAATTGTTGTGTGTACATAACGAGCGAACGAAAACCGGCCACCGCATAGTATCTGGCAGCGGTCCCAAAGTCAGCCGCGAAGCTTATAAAAGACGACAGCAATCTCAGCCCGCGCCCGGCGCGTCGCACTCCCCATTCTATCCTCATGGGGCGCGCAAATCTCTCACGATAGTACCTAAAAAAACAAAATACATTTTATGTATAGTTTATAATCACATACCAGTTATTGGGACCAAGTGATAAGTGATACGGTAAGTTGTTTTACACGTGCTGGTGTTGCCTGTAGAAGACTGTGACATGTGAAAACGGTGTACAGTGTTGCCCGCCTATGTGATCGGACATGGATGCTAAAGTGACATTGCGGATGTGCTAAATGGACAGCCCGAATTAGACGCAGCGACATCTGTAGTTGAAGTGTGGAACGAGCCTTGCAAGCCAGTGTTACCAGAAGTAAATAATGTGAACTAGTGAATCCAAAAAGACAATTGAAAAGGAAACTGCTTAGTGGACCGACAAAAGTGGATTTTGTAACGTAGTTTAAAAAATTGTGTAATCTTGCTTGACTCTGTTCGAAGAAACAAAAGTCAATTTAAATTAACAATTTCACAAACTTCTGGAAATACTGGCTAGTTCTAACAACTACTATAGAGCCCTAACTTAGAATGTAGTTTGACAAGAACTCTTTAATATTTGTAATTTTATATACCTACATAATATATTATACCTGTCTAGATATTTTATGTAACATGGTGCACGTCACACGTATTCACATCATCTACGTCACTACTAAAAATAGCAGCAGATCGCCTGCAAAAAGAAGCTCACTCACAGATCTAAGACCGTTACACAATAAAAAAACAAATGAATATTTCTCATGTACAAGTTCTCATAATCGAATAATAACATGGGAAACAATAGTAATGGGTTAATAAAGTGTTAAAAAGAGTTCATGTTTACACCATGTAGTTACTACCAGCTGTAAAAATACCAATCATTTCTGGCTAGGAAACGGGAGATATGAGCACAAAGCACCTAATATTTGCTGACGTCAATGAACCGTTATAAACGCATTAAACTGTAGAAATACAGACGTATTCCATTATGTAAAATAATAAAATATCATTTAAATTCCGATATGATAAAGAAGTTATCATAATAAAAAATATAAAGAAGTAGATTTTAAGAAAACATAGTCCAATACATAAAGAGACAAATGATAATAAAAGTACTTTGAGTATTTAGCGTACTTATACTGACGAAATCTAACGTTTGTAACATTATTTGAACGTAATGTAGTAATAGTATTTTCTCGGATCTCAATAAAATAATCAAGAAAAATAATTAGGGAATTCCTTGACATGTGGTGATGAGAACAATGTCATAACCTTGAACCATTTCAAGTTCTTGAGTTCTTGACCTTACTGACGAATTAGTAGCACTGGTGTATTAAAAAATTTCACGGCTTCCAACCTTCCGTTCACTGTTTTCTATTTCTTTCTTGAATCATTCTTAAAGTAACGGTTTTTTTCTGTAATACAATCTTATCTATTTTACTTTTTATACATTATCTAACTAATTACTTGACTATAGTATAGTATCTTCTACGTTAGATATTAAACAATATTAAGCTTGTGATGAATGCTTTAGTTAGGATGTAAATCTAATTCTAAAATATTTAATTAGAACACCTTGATGCCCTTGTCGATTTTGGCCAATCGAACGACCTCACTAGTGCGTGTCCATTAAATACTACAAAATCCCTCGTCATCTCGCCAAGTAAGACCTGCCAAAACAGATGGTTACGACACACTCCACTACACTATAATTCTATTTCGATTATTACCTTCGCCTATTTATTTCTAGATGACGAATCGTACAGATGTATTATGTGTGTACGTTGCCTATCCGATGTAAGATTGAGTTCTTATACTATGTGCGTAAGCAAGATCTCGTTACGTTACATCACCTTAGGAATTTTAAAAGCTCGCTTGTTACTGCGGAATAAACTCGGCACCTCGAGAATTTCGCTAGATAGTTTCAGAAGTTTGACGTAATTTAAGTCAACGTTGAATACATATTTTTGCAAAAGCTTTAGATTTCTTAAATTTAATGGATTATTTTCGACCCGTGATATTGGGTGTGAATTTTAAAGAAGTACATTACTTAAGAAATTCCCTTAACTACACATTTATCTCTGGTAAAAGTAGCAACTTCATGAATAGTCATCTTAGTAGCTCTTTTAATAGTATAAGAACTACTAAGATTACTAGTGCATTGCTTACTTTTTTTATCGACGTTATGTTTTAACACCACTAAAAGTAAGATTTAAATATCTTTGGTTCTATATGCGAGAATGATTACCAAAAACAATAATTGATTCAAGCCTCAGAAAATATTCAGAAGCCCTTTGATAAGATTTTGTCTAAAAGACTAGAGATAGTTTACTACTACAAGGATTTCATTCTAATACAATTTTAGTGAAGACCATGAAAAGAAGATATTGTAATACGTGTGAAAACAATTTTTGTTTCTTTCGTAAGAATATTGTGATCGTTTGTATACTAATAAACTACTTTTAAAAATCAAAAGACGTAATAAGTACTTTGAAGTGTTCTGACATCAACTGCTGGCATAAATTAATTAGTTATCAAACGATATTTCCAAATCGATATGCTGCCAATAATATTTCAGCCACAAACAGAAAACCTATCAGAAAAGTAAGTGATCTGGTTTATAATGATCCACACTACTGTGACGGCAAAGTGCAAACCAAAGTGTTCTCTTCTCACGTCACAAGCTCATTGAAATGCTTGAAAGCATTTCAAACAAATAGACGTGATGTTCAGTACGCTTAATATTTGAATGTTAATAAAAAGAGTAAAGGAGCAGTTAACTGCCTCAATTTATTTCTCTTCCAAGAACATTTTATGGAATTATTTTTGCAATTACACTAGCCATTCTTAAAATTAATATAAGGTAGCTGAACTTTTATGTACTGCTTTAAAAATCTACTTTTATATATGCATTTCCCCATTTTACCGAAATTATAAAGTTATTGGCGGATCCGACAGATATTGTACTGTCCGTGGAAAATATTTAAAGAAATCTAGAACCTACTGCAGCTCCCGTTACCGGGTCCAGTCAAATTCAATATCATTTATTCAGTTTAGGTTAATGTTAGCTGAATGTACACTTCATGTTTTTCATTGAAACCACACTTCGAAATATAACAATTTTATTAAATAATTTTAAATTATTCTAGAAAACTAATCATGACAGAATTCAATATCGTTTATTAAGTAGGATTCTATTTTATTTTATTTGGGAAATTTACAGACAAATAACAAAGTATATTAAAACTATGATCAGTCACATGCTAATAATAAATTTCCACATATAACAATGGAATTATAACCACTTATGAATGTTGAAAAACTATGCAATCGGTTCGCAAATCTACGATCGGAGACATCATACTGAGTGAGAAGAACTACTACATTTTCTTCCGGTATTATTATTATGTTCAGCGACATCAAGCTGAAAAATTACTTGAGTATGAGAGAGATAATTCAAGAAGTTATCTTTAATATTTTGTCAATCTGAATTATCCAAAAACCATTCGAATGCATCCAAAAATTTTAATATTATTTGGTCTAACAGTTTAGGAGTTCAATGCACGAATAGAAGAAATTGATAAAGAGAAAAGAAATGGATTAAACGTTGCCATGTGTGTGGAAAATGAGATTCTTTTATTACATCGCCTTGCAATTGTAAATA